AAGATAGAGAGTATTTTCATCACCACACAATCCCTCATACCGCAGCCCCAAGCAACCAAGGATTTGCTTTCTGTTGCTCTAGATTATATTTGTCTTTTCTAGGGTTTCCTAGAAATACTCACTTTTAATAAACACGGTTCAGAGGTGATTCTGACCCACCCTTACGGAGTCTGTCTGGCTACTGCATGCCTCTCAACCTAGGGGATGTTCTCTGTCTCTGTTACACTGGCCCATTTCCTAATTGCTGAACCACGTTCAAGGGCTCATAGATACTGAGTCTGAACTTTCCAAGTCTTACTTTAGAAATTCCTTTTTCTGGAAAAGGACAAAACAAACAAACACGTACTTGCTTTTCTGTTCTTTTTCAGTATTGGAGTCCAGGTGTGATACTAAGGTATTACCTCCAAGGCAGCACATTTATGAGGTACAGTCACCCCAGTGGGAGATAATGGAAAACCTTACAAGTTGTGGTCTTGAGTGCTCGAGTTTCCAAGATGATTGGCAATGCAGAAGCCAGTTTGACAGACAACAAGGACGTCTAGGTGGACATGTGAGTCAGATGATAGTCAATCATGAAGACATGACTACTTTCAACCAGCAAGCATCCCTTACATTTTATCAGAAAATTCATACTGGTGAAAAACCCTATGAATATAATGAATGTACAAAGGATTTCTGGCAAGAGGACTTCCTTTTTGATCACCAAGGAATTCATACTAATGAAAAACCCTATAAATGTAAGGAATGTGGGAAAGCCTTTAAATATGGCTCACGACTCATTCAACATGAGAATATTCACTCTGGCAAGAAACCCTATGAGTGTAAGGAATGTGGAAAGGCCTTCAATTCTGGTTCAAATTTCATACAACACCAGAGGGTTCATACCGGTGAGAAACCCTATGAATGTAGGGATTGTGCAAAAGCCTTTAGTCGAAGCTCGCAACTGATTGAACACCAACGAATTCACACTGGTGAGAAGCCGTACCAGTGTAAGGAGTGTGGCAAGGCCTTCAATCGGATCTCACATCTTAAAGTACATGACAGAATTCACACTGGGGAGAAACCCTATGCATGCAAGGAATGTGGGAAGACCTTTAGTCATCGATCTCAGTTGATTCAGCATCAGACCATTCACACTGGCAAGAAACTCTATGAATGTAAGGAGTGTGGGAAGGCCTTTAATCAAGGCTCAACTCTCATTCGACATCAGAGAATTCACACGGGTGAGAAACCCTATGAATGTAAGGCATGTGGGAAGGCCTTTAGGGTGAGCTCCCAACTTAAGCAGCATCAGAGGATTCACACTGGAGAGAAACCCTACCAGTGTAAGGTATGCAGTAGGGCTTTCAAACGGGTCTCACACCTTACGGTACATTACAGAATTCATACGGGCGAGAAGCCATATGAATGTAAGGAGTGTGGGAAGGCCTTCAGTCATTGCTCACAGCGGATTCAGCATCAGCTCCTTCATACTGAGGGAAAGGCCTGTGAATATAAGGAACGTGGGAGGACCTTATGTCATGATTTGACCACCGTTCAGCCTCAGAGGATGCATAATAGAGAAACGCCAGGGAATACGACAAATGGAGAAAAGCCTTCCGTTGGCACTTACCCCTTATTAATCATCAGAGAACTGATGTTAGCAAGCAGCCGTATGAGTGGAAGTGGTGGGGAGAGCCCATTAGCTTAGGCTGGGCACAGCTCCCTCCTTATATCTTGGGGAAAGACTCGAAGAATGTCGTGCAAGTAAGAATGCCTTCATTCAGAGGTGTCCTTTCTCCTGAGTTGTAAAATTGGAGGAAAAAGTTATGGATGTAAGGTGTTTGTTTAAAATGTGATTGTCAACGAAGCAAGGAAGGGTGAGGAAAAAATTTTGTCTCTAACACATTCCAGAATCACAGTTTCTGACCACAGTGTAATGATTTTAACAACAGCCTGAAGTTTTAATATTCCTGAAAATTAAAAAGAAAAAAAACCCAGCCAAATTACTCTTGGGTTAACAAGTAAATAAGTCATACAATTACCGTGAATGGTAATGAGAAGAATGACATGAAAAATTTATATGCTAAGACATGGCATGTGGCTAGAGCTACTCAGATCTTTATGGCCTTTAAATGCATGCAGAATATACTAGATGTGCCATTCAGGAAGCCAGAAAACACCCAGGTGATGAAACAAATTAATGAAATGACGAACTAGAAAGTTATCTTAACAATAATCTCAGTGTTTGCTTCCTGACCTATGAGTAAACTACATTAAGGAGAGGGTTTTTAATTACCAAGTTATTTGTTTTTGGATCATTTATAACTTCTGTTCCAGCATCCATACCCAGTTCCTCTTTCTACTGGCAGCATCTGTGACTTGGCTGCAAATCTAAAGATGTCAGATGCTTATTTTTCAGCCTGCTTTTGCAGCTCAGGATGGCCCTGGGAATCCTGAGTGTGCTCCAGGGTCCTGCAGGGGCTTCTGGGAAAGATGTTCCTCATTCAGAAGAGACATATATTAGGAAGATCCTTCCCCTCTCATTTCCTGCTTTTAAACATTTTCCTGTGAGAACGTGATGCTTGGAGCTGCTACAGCCATGTTGGAACTAAGAGGAGAAAAGAGAGGCTCTCGGAAAAGTTGATCCTGACAGCACTGAGCCATGAGGCCACTTATGGAATACTCTTCGATGCCTTGTTATGTACGAAAAATAGACCTTTTTTGCTGAGGCTACTTTTAGTTGGGTATTGTGAAAACTTGCAGCCAAAAGCATCCTAATTGATATAACTTCAAATTTTTATTTTATCATGATGGGTAAATGTGGCCTGGAAGCACCTTTTTTGAATTTGACGTTTTTCTTTGTGGCTAAGTACAGGATTGATTTTTGTGTATGTTCCGTAGCATCAAGAAAATATATGTACCACTTTTTTGGGTGCAAGATTCTTTTTAAGCCAGTGATTTATAATGATGAAATCCTCCGTGTTCTTATATCATTTGGTATACTGGATCAAAATTTCCTAAGATTGAATTTTTTAAACTAAGATCCTGGATTTCCACAGATTTTTACCTTCTAATTTATGTTGTTTGACCTATGAAGACATATGATTTATCCCCTATTTATGAATGACACCTTTTATCATTATATAACACCCTACCCTGCCAAGTGGAGGGGTCAGCAAACCAAGTCCGGCCGCTGCCTGCGCCATGAAGGTTTACTGGAACACTGTCGCGCTCGTTCATTCCTGTACTGTCTGCGACTGCTCGTGCACTGCAGCAGCAGGACTGAGTGGCTGCCACAAAGGCTATGGCCCTGAAGCCTCTGTTTTATTCCCAGGCTGTGTAATGCCACTACTACTAATTTATCTTTCTTCACCAGGGCGTCTTTGCCCATCCATTTATTTTCAAGCCGTCTTTTTAGTGAGTTATTATAAAATATATATATATAGCTGATTGTTTTGAAGCTCACAATAGGAAGTTTTTCTGATAGGGACAGACACATGTTTACTGAGCATGAACTTACCTCTGTCGTTTATTCCACATCGTGTGCACAGTTCCTTTCCGCTTGGTCTCCCTTCTTTGCGGTGGCCGGCCAGTTCCCTTCTCTAGCGCTCAGCCGGCGTTCTGCTCGGTGCTGAGGGCCGTGCCATCTCCCCGTCGTGATCGTCATCGGGGCAGAATGAGCACCGTTATTCTTTCCCTGCCATACACCTCCAGGAAGCCATCCTTCCTTGTCTCCCTGTGCCTTCGGTCTGTTACTTCAGCGTTTCCTCCATTTCTCTAACCTAATGGGAACGCTTAGTCCGGAGCTTTGTTTTGCTCCTACTTATTTGGTGTTTCCATTACTTATTGCTGGACCCACTCACGATTTCCATTTGGATTTAAGTAGACTCCGAGCAGCGTTCATTGCTGCCGCTGTTTCTTTTCATCGCCTTCCCTTGTCTGGAGGTAACAGGTCTGTTTCAATTGCTATTGGTTATTTCGTTGAATGTTTATCTCAATAAATGGTATATAGCTGGTATTCTTTGAATCCTTATATATCCAAAAAAGTTTCTTGGACCTTCATAAATTATGTGTGGTTGGCAGGACATTCTCGAATTGTAGTTTTTTCTCAGTGACCCATAGGTATCCCTTCTTTGAATTCTGGCTTCTGGTTTAGAAGAAGAGCCCAGTGCTGGTCTGATTGTTAGTTTATATGAATGCATTCAGTTCCTGTTGCTGCTGTGATTAGACAGAACATAGCGGCTTACACAACAGATTTGTTATCTGGAGGTCAGAAGTCTGAAGTAGGTCTCGCGGGGCCCAGTTAAGGAGCCGGTGGGCTGTGTTCTCCTCCAGAGGCTCCAGGAGAATCCATTTCTGAGCCTTTCCGGCCTCCAGAGGTGCTCACGTTCCTCGGTGCGGCCCCCTTCCGTCGTCAAAGCCAGTGACAGTCGCGTCTGACGTTGCCGCACCCTGACACGGAATCTTCTGCCTCCCTTTTTCACTGGTAAAGAACCTTGGGATTACATTGTGCACATCCGAACAGTCCAAGATAATGTCCTAAGGCCCGTTGATCAACAAGCTTAATTCCCCCTTGCGGTGTGACCTCACATGATGCACAGGCCCTGGGATAAGGGTGCGTCTGGGGGGCCGTGCTGCCTGCCTCAGGAACTGCTGCTGTCCTGGCGTCTGGAGGGGGTTCTTTCTGTCCTTAGAATTCAGGAACTAAAGCAGGATATGTTTAGAGAGCCTCATATCTTTTTTTTAGCCCAAGGAAATTTTCTTCTAAATATTAATTGGTACTTCTATTTGAAAACTTCAATGTTTTGAATAAGCAGTATGTCCTTACACTTTAGAACATGAAGAAGTAAAACAGGTCGAAGATGCAGCAGCAAGCCTCCCGCCCTTCCCCTCGCCCACCGCCCAGACAGCCGTCTCCTTGGGCTGTGGCTGTGCGAACAACGTGACGCTTGGGTGACTGGTTGGGCTGGTATTTGCGCTTAGCTCTGTGTGACCCTGAAATCTTCCATCAAACACAGTGCCGACGGGGAAATGCTCCTCTCGACTCCAGCCCCTTATGTGGAATCAGGATAGAGAGCTTCTTAGAGAAAGTACGAGAGACAGAAGACAGTTCCTTCATGACATCACAGAAACCGTGAGCTCTGCTAGCAACAGAACTGGCTTCCGGGCTCAGGGGCAGACTGCTGCCCTGGGCGAGCTTCGGGTCCTTCTGAGGGTGTGTCCTTATCCAGAGGTAGAGGCAAGCCCGAAGCAGCAGAAAATGCCACTTTTGTCGCGAATTTCACTCAGGTGCGTTGGGAGAGTGGAATCTCACTCCTGTTCAGAGTCCTTGGGGCAAGGAGCTGGGAAACTCCTTTTCCCGCCTATCAGTAGAGGAAGGCCATCGAGGAGGTGGGGGTGGGCATTGAATACCAGCTGACAGCCATAGTCCCTGCATTTGTAATTTCTAGAGTTTCTGTTTGCTCTTTCTCAGCGTCCTTAGGTCAGTTTGGTCTGTGTTCCTTTCGGCAGTGTGATGCGGGCTTGTGTGCCGCTCCCTGCCCAGGGGCAACCCGCTCTTCCTGCCTCCTACACTGGTGACGTTGTGTTTGGTCCTTGGGGCCATGGGGGCCGCTCTGCCAGGCCAGAGCCCCACACAGCATCCCCATTAACGTTTGAGGCATGCGTTGCTGATCTGGCTGGATCCTTATTGAAGCAGGAGATCTGGTGATTTTGGAGAACTGGAAAGGGTGGGCCACCCCATCCCTTTTCCACACCAGGGCTGGAGATGGTTCCCCCTGGTTAGGGATGGCTGAGGTGAGTCCACGATCTCCCCATGACCTCAGAGTATTAGTTCTCTATTGCTGGGTAACAAATGAGCACAAGCTCAGAGGCTTAAAACAACATGCCTTTGTTATGTCCCAATTTTCAGGGGGGTCTGAGCACAGCTCAGCTGTATTGTTTGCTCAGGGTGTCACAAGGTGCTTCTTACCTGGAGCTCAGGGCCCTCTTTCAAGGCCACTGGCTGTTGGCAACGCTCACTTCCTTACAGGGGTCGGTACCCATTCTCTTGCCGGCTGTCCGCCCAGGCCCCTCCCAGTTCTCAGGGGCCTTAACCTCTCTTCCTTGGCGCCAGCACAGAGTGTTTTCCTGACTTCTGCTGGGGCTCCTCTTGGAGACAATCTTCCTTTTGGTAACTCAGAGTCAGCTGGTTGGGAGCTTCATTATAGAGTCATCAAATCCTACAGGGCAAGCAGTGGGAGGGGTGGGACTTGGCAGGTGGGGGACAGCTTAGGAGCCTGCCCAAACAACATTGTCACGACCACAGGAAGGGGGAGGAAAGACTTGCGACCTGTCCTCTGGGGAGGCAGGTCTGACCGCTGGTGGTCTCTCTTCCCTCCTGGGCCTTCTCAGGATTCACCCTGATACCTGACCCAAGGTCAGGTCTGATGTTTGAGCCACATGCACGGGTGGTGGACCCCACCTGTGGCCGCTTGGACTGTCCTCGGTCAGTATTCTATTGCTTGGGAACGAGAGGGCACAGTTGGGGACGGGGTAGGTGAAACTAGCCAGAACGCTGTTGCTGAGAATTGCAGACCATCAGAGCTAGGGATATCCCTGTCTTGTTCAACCTCAGGGCCCAAAAATAAAAGGTTGATGCACCTGGTGCAGTGTCGTGGGAAATGTGCAGCCAGTAGCAATAAATCTACAGTAAAGAATTTGACCTAGTAAGGAAAGGCATCATTCAGAATGGGGGTGAAGCTGACTCTTCAATGTATTTGAAAATAACACATAAATGTAATTTTCTAATTCCAAACAGATTCATTCAGCAGTTTGGAATGATTCCATAAAAAAATTGTTTCTCTAGCTCAGGATTTCTCGACCTCACGCTGACATTCGAGGCTGATAATTGTTAGTTATGGGGCCATCCTGGGCATGGGTGGATGGCTGCCCGCAGCTGTGGCCTCCCCTGTGGGTGCTACAGGAATCCCTACCCTCGTGATGCCAACCAGGTGTCTGCAGTTGTTGCCAGGGTCTTCTGGGGACAAGGTTTGCCCCTAGTTGAGAGCCGCTTCTCTAGTCTGACTCTTACATAACATTTTGTTATGAAAGCATTCAAACATGTAAACAATACTGACAGGAGGCAATTTCTGACTTACTCCCTAATTTCTGAGCAGAGGATTCAGACGTCAAGAAGTCATGTGATTGGTTTCTACAGTTTCATATATTGGGAAACCATGGAGCTGAGGTTTTTGTTCTTGAAGTGCTATTTGATGGACGCCTCTCCTGAGGCTGCACTGCTCGCAGTGGAAAGGTCATGAACACGCAGACCCTTTTCTTCAATCCCGCGGTGGCCTTCCTGCACCCTATGCCTCAGCTTAGTCCCTGGTTGTGTCTCCCACCCCCTGCAGTGGCCTTTTCCATCCCTGCTTTTCTAGTCATTGTTACTGCAGTGGCACAGGTGCTCGGCCTGCTGTCTCAGGCATAGGGGATGTGGGGTGCGGCCTCTGTCGTCTCAGGACGGATGAGGCGGGAGGGCTGGGCCCTGCCCACGGGGATTTGTGCAGAGATGCTGGAGTCTTTCAGTTAGAGGTTGACATTTGTCCGCCGCCTTCAGTGTGAATTTCTAAGGTGACTTTTAGGTCCTGCTTGAGTGTCTGCTCTGTTTTCAGGGAGACCGTACAGCTTCCCCATTCCATGGACAACTTCTTCCTCTGGCCTCCTCTAATTTATTATTTTCTTCATTGGTAACCAGGAACAGGATATGAATTCTGGGACACTCACCTCCATGACTCTGTCGTATTTCTCATGTGCACAGGTTTTTCTATTTCCAAGCCAAATATGATCTCCCTACTGGAGCAAGGGAATGAACCCTGGATGGCGAAGAGAGATGTGGCCAGAAGCTTGTGCCCAGGTGAGTGAGGGATGGTTAAGGGCAGCGGCACTGTAGAAAGTGGCACAAAGGTCAGTGGGTAGGGAGCACCTTTGATACCACCTAGAAAGGTGCCCAAGTTCTAGGTCCAGAGCAGAGCATGCCTCCCATCCGCATGAGCTCCTAAGGAGCCTCTCTCTGGCTCACATAGACCATTCCTGTGCTGCTCTCCAGTCAGAGGAAGGCGCTTTCTTTGAATTACAACCGCTTACCCACCCAGGGGCCATAATTTCTTCCTAGTTCCTTTCTTATTTACAGATTTTACATTGTTTCCATCCAAAAATATGTTTCTGCAAACACTAGCTTATTTTGGCTGCCTCCCAGTGATTTTTCTTTCTTTGACTTGTTTTTCTGGGTTTAGATTTTATACATTCTTTCTTTCATTCTGAAAATGTTTTAAATAAACATTTTCTCATTTTCAAATTTGAGTAAGGCTGTCCACAATAACCGGGATTCCAGCTATTTCTGATTCATTGTCAGATGGAGGATTACATTGCCCTGTATTTTCTGCTTTTCCCCATTCTGTTTATCTTCCCTCAATCTAATGGTTCATTTCTTCAACATTCATGAGTTACATGATGTTGTTTGTGTACTAGGCACTGAGTTTGAGGCTTGTCATACAATAGGGTGTAAATTAGATATGGTTTGCAACTTTCTGTTGAGGGATTATGGGAGTAAACAGGCATATGAAAAAAACAGGTGTATATCTTCACAACCTTTTATTTTTTCTATATAATGAGATTCTTGAATGGGGAATAGTAGAGGAGACAGTGTTCAGATCAAGACAAATGATGGCCATCTAAAGAACCTAACATCTTAATTTAAAAGAAGAGCCAGCCATGCAAGAACTGCAGAGAGTGTCACATGCAGATCAGAAAGAGGCCACCCGAGGTGTCCTCACACCTACAGGGAGCAAGCAGGGGAGGGACCTGGCCGAGAAGGCAGTAGCTTAAGGTGAGTTTGAATAGATCCGACAGGTGGAGGACTAGGATGTCGCCTAGTACAGTATGAAGCTCTGAAGTGCTTTCGGCAGTGGGTCTGTACTCCACTTGCAAGAGTGGGCATCCTTATTTAACGACCGTTAGGCAACTGTAGTGACAAATCTGAAAATATGTCGGAAAATAACTACCTTGCTTACTTCACTTACGAGATCTCTACGTTCTCTGATCTCCTTGCCCATTTTTCTAATTGCTTAGTCACATTTGGGAGCTGTATGGAATACTCATTTTTTAAAAATAAGCATTATTTTCAGTTTAAAACTATTTCTACTAAAGAAACTTAACTCTCTGAAGGCAGAGACTAAAATGAGAACCTCTGGTTTTTCATTATCTTTCAGATTGGGTATCCCTGTGGGAAAAAAATGGAAAAATTTACAAAGATCCTGGGGTCCCCAGTTTCTAGGATGACTGGGAATGTAAAGGCACACTTGCAAGACATCAAAAAAATGAGGAAGGACATTTCAGTCAAGTCATAATCACCCAGGAGGAAGTACCTGCTCTGAGACAGGTAACATCCCATAACGTGCTTCAGGGTGCTCCACATGGTGTAGAATAAGTTTTGGCAGAATAAATCTTTTTTTCATTAGAAAATTAATACTGGTGAAAAACCTTACGAATGCAAGCAGTGTGGAAAGGCTTTGCATCATCCTTCCTGTCTTCCTCCACATCAGAGAATTCATACTGGTGAGAAATCCTGCAGTGTAAAGATTGTGGAGAAACCTTTCTCCAACACTCGCAACTGAATTACATCCTAGAACTCATACTGGTGAAAAACCCTATCCGTGTTCTGAATGTGGAATAGCTTTTAGTCACTTACCACTAATTATTCAACAGCAAAGAATTCATAGTGGAGAAAAGCCCCAATGGCTACAAGGAATGTGAAAGGCTTTTCAGGGTATCATACAACAAGCATCAAAGAGTCCACACAGTGAGAAGCCACATAAATGTAATGAATGTGGAAAGGCCTTTGCCGTTGTTCACAGTTCCCACAACATCAGAAGAGCCACACTGGTAAGAAATCTTGGTAAGTGTAAGGTCTGTGGTCAGGACTTCAGGCAGAGCTCACAGCTTAGCTGCCACTAGAGAATGCACAGTGGGGAGGAACCTTGTAACCAAGATGAATGTAGGAAAGTCTTTGCTCAGATTTCGCAACTTCCTGTTCATACTGGCAAGCCCACCGGTGAGACCCTGTAACAAGGCGCCGAATGGGGGAACGCTTTTAGTCACCGGTTGTTCAACAGAAAATTCATAGCAAAGCCCGATGAATGTAAGGAATGCGGGAAAGCCTTACGGCTACTCACACCTTACCCAGCATGAGAGAATTCACACTGATGAGAAGCCGTGTAAATGCAGTGGATGCAAAGGCCTTCGGCTGTCATTCCTATCTTCCTCAACGTCAGAAAACCCAGACTGGTGGGAAACCTGATACATGTACAGATTTGGGTTAGGGCTTTAGGCAGGGCTCACAGCTTACCATCAGGTGGCTCACACTGGGGAGAAGTCAGGTGAGCGCAAGGAATGTGGGGAAACCTCCAGTGAGTGTTAACAGCACAGCTGATAGCAGAAAATTCCTTCTCAATGTATGATACAGTTTGCAGCTGTTACCTTTGATAACACTGTCCTAAAAAGGATGTATCTGTACATACAAAAGCAGTCCACAAACTCACATAGGCAGAGACAGTGTGAAAGAACTGTGGAGATAAAGCACATCTAGCTTTACATCAAAACATGAAAAGTGGTTCTGAGTTCTTGTGAATATTTATTTTCCATTATGTACTTGTACAGCCAAACCCTCAACAATAACCATGTAGCACTTTTTAAAAATGACAATTCAAATGTGCCATGGATGCTCTTATCCTCTCAGTAGGGGGAAAAACATTTCTCTTTTCTCACTTAAATGTGGGAATTAAGAAATCTTCAGTGTGAAGGAGTGCCCTGTTTTGTTTTGTTTTTCAACAATAATCTCCTTTAGTAAAGATTTTCACATGTCCTGTGTTTAATGGAAAAGGGATAAAATGTTATACAAGTAGACCAGTATATACATTTTTACCTTTATCTTTCAGATCATATAATTTTCCCTCAAAATCTGTGCACGTTCTTGTGCTGTTTTCAGAAGTAGATACTGAGTTGGATTTGACACATCAGTCGATCCTAGGGGAGGAAGGACCTCTACAGGATTCAGATTCAAACTCAGCAGCAGCTTCTTCTAGTTCTCTAGTTACATTCTCTTCCAATTCCTGCTGCCTCCTGCAAAGAACGTCTCCGTGTCATCTGAGGCCCACGGGTTTGTGGTGGGAACCACTGTGTTCCTGGGAGTGAGATTTCCAGCGCGAGCTGTTCCCAGCGCTGGCCTCCTAGTGGGAGTGCTGCGTGAAGTTCTGTTCTGCCCGTTGTCCTCCAGAGGTGTGGCACTCATCTCTGGTAGCCTCTCCGTAGTCCTGTGGAGAATGTTTAGTTTATTTTCCAGTGAATTTCTAACTATTAATTCTTCCAGGTGGAGTTGCTTGTATTTTTCCAATTCTGTTCTACTGGAATATCGAGAAGGTTTTGCTTTGAAGAGCGCACACTCCATGTCTTTAGTTCTGAGCTCCATCTGGCTTCTTACTGAAGCATGATTATTTTCTCTCACCTGCTCTTTTCCTGAGATGCCGCTTGTGCCTGTAAAAACAGACCGACTTCTTTTACTTTTTCTACTATTTCCTGTCTTGCTCTTCAAACTCCCACTTAATACAGTTCTACTTGGCTGTGTTCTGCCATGTTCATTCCTGTATGAGTCCTGAGGTGTCGGCTCCCCGCTGCCTCTGGCCCACAACCAGGGAGGAGGGGAGACGCAATGAGGTGTCAAAGAGCCGAAAGGACCAGCCAGGGGACTCGAGGCTGAACCGCCAGACAGCGGTGCTCAGAGGCACCCTTCGTGTTTATTGAAGTATAACATGTTATAAAAACATGTTTGAAATCTGGGGGTGTCTTAATAGACAACCATTAACTAACTCAATCCTCGGCAGCCTCCAATATCCCGGGCACCACGTCTTACAAAGTATTGAAACAACAGCCAGGGCAGTTAGGGCACAGAAACTGTTTGGTCTTGTTTGTTCTGTTCCTTATTAGTTACCAGGAATTACAGGAAAAATAACCAAGTCATATATGATTATACATTTGATTTCTATACTTGATTTATGTTAATCCCACACTGAGGTTTACTACTTTCTGTTCCAACTTCTTTATATTCTTCTCTAGTTTTTCACATTCCTTTTGCATCGCTTTCATAGATAATAGCTCCTGTTGAAGAACTTGATTTCTTGCATCTATTTGTAGACATTTTGAAGATGAAGTTTCCAATTTTGCTGTAAGATCATCAGTCTTACGTGTTAGGGTTTTAAATCTCCATGGAAACTCAGCTCTCCATTTTCATATTCATTTAACTTCTTTCTTGTCATTTTTAAGTTTCTTAAGTCCAGAAATCTCTTTTTCTAATTCACTATTTCTCTTCACTTCTTGATCCAAACTGTTCTAGAGATTGTTTTAACTCAGTCAATTTCTGTGAGAAACACACTCACTGGTCCAAATTCAATAAGTGGACATGGAGACACAGAGAACTGCGGAGCGAGGCTTTAATGATGGTCTAGCAAGGTCGGGTGTCTGGTGGGCAGGCACACCTGGGGAGTTTGGCGCCAATAATTTACCTCCTAGTGCGCGAGTCTCTCACCTGGTTCCTCATTGGCTGAGTACTGCAGGGTTCACATTGTTTCCCGGACGTCGTCTAAGCCAGTTATATCTTTCCTTTACATTTGTATTAATTTTATTGGTAGTTTTAAAAAACTCAAACAGGTATTGCCAGGCCCTTATCAATTCCCCCACCCCCACTCTCAGCCCAAGCAGCTTCCACCACGTGGCCCTTTGTTCATACCTTACTGTTAAAATGTTTAAACATCCTAGTGGGAACAAATCACGTTTAGGTTTTATACTCTTTCCTAACAGTTCCCCCCTCTTTTTATTTAAGAATTTGATTTTATTCCCAGTAATGTATTTTAATTTACACTCGGTCCTTTCCCAAATTTCTCTAATCTTGTTTATGGCTGCCTCTATAAGGTTTTGAGTCAAGCCTCTCACACAAGTGATGATACAGCATCTACAGCAGTTAAAACTCTCGCAACTATAACAAGGAATGTTAAAACAGAGGCAACCATACCTTTCTATTTTCTAAACCATCTTTCCAACCAGTCTGTAAAAGGGTCACTGATGCCAGAGTTTTCAGCTAATTCATTAGCTAAAGTTGTGAGTCCCTATAGGGCTTTAGTAATAGTACCATCAGGGGCAGTATTATTTGGGATAAAAGTATAATATTTTCCTCCTAACATAACACAGACTCCTTTTTCTGCGAACATATGCTATTCTGTTTTCTCAGGCCATCCTGCTGGTAGCAACTAGTTGACTAGCTACTCCTTGAAGAACATCCCTGGTATAGTTAATGATCTAATCTACATTTTTGTTGATGGTGGACCACCAAAATAATGCAGACTCAAATCTTGCAGCTATGTGATTTATAGCTTTAAATTCATCAGGGACTCCCCTGGGGACTCCTATTGAGTCAATGTATCCATTTGACTTCTATGAAGATTTTTTTCATTAGGTGTGGAGAGAAATGCCAGGGTAAATGGAATGGCCAATTGGACTAAAGCATAAGTCCCATCCAGGTGGGTGGCAACAAGTAGCGCAGGTTCCCTTTCCACAGTACCACCAAACAGCCGCTCGGGGGATGCGTAATTTCGAGAAGTTGCCCTCTTTAGAGACATGTAGGACATGGGTACAAGTCGGTAGTTCCCCACAGGGGTTCTGAAACCTTCCCCGTGCCTGGAGAGGCACGAGGAGTGATTCATCTTCCCTGTGGAAAGAGGGGGTTGCCCTCGGGTCTGACTTCTTTAGTGCATGAAAGAGTAAAGACAAGCCCTTGCAAGTCTCGTCTCCCCAAGCGTCCTTGTCCTGGTGCAGGGCCAGCATGCAGTTCATCCCAGTGGGGTCTGCATCCCAGCCGAGAGGGAACGGGACCACCTGCGCCTGTGGCCGTCCAGCAGCACATGCGTAACAATCGCTTTTATTCAAAGCGAGTACTGAAAATTTAACCCACTCTACCCAGGCATTGGTGTCTCCATAACTTGTCTCTATTTCAAGAGTCTGTTTTAGATATTTTATCTCTGTTACAGTAACTAGTCTAGGGTCATTTAGGGGAAGCTCTGGCTCAATATTTCCCTCAGGATTGGGGGTGGCCACTATGGGTGAAGTCTTGCCTTTGATTAAATTAAGACCAAACCTTCCCACAGGATCTACTCCAATGACATCTGCAGCGAGTCCGTCTTGAGGTTTATGTATAGTTAATAAAAGGGGTTTACACTGTCTACCCGGGCAATTGTCAGGAGGAATTCCTTTAGCTCAGTGGAGCTTTCTTTTTAAAGATTTTTCTACTGCATGAGGGTCTGTCCACCCTTGAAACTGGGTAGTTCACCAAACACT